TGGTATGACTGCAGAATGGAGTTCTAGGGAGTGGAATACTCGACTTTGAGTAAGAGGAGGACTCACATCCTCGACCTTGCACATAACCCAACTCCTGAGAGTAATATGCTCAAGGTGATGCATCAAACCGTGAGGGGGCACTGTTGCTCACAGTCCATCATGAGGGCCGAAAGGACAGCCTAACAACCTGATATGAGTGCTTCACAGGCCTAAAGAAGCAGAGCACTCAACTTTTAACCTGTTAATCTGCACCTGGACGCGGCGCACTGAACGCTCTTTGTTTGCACGTGTCAATGTTTACGAATAGATTAAATGAAAAGGGAAATAAATAATCTTAACAAACTATATATATCATTCTAAAGGTCTAAGCCTCAAGCATCAAAGAAAGATCGCTGTTTTTCAATGGAAAGCTTATAAAGAATGTATTTGCTAAATTTGTGTAAGCAGTACACATCAAAACATGCATAATCAAAACCCAGTACGTACCAGATTCATCGTAATAACGAGTCATAAACGCATCCACAGCTGTAAATCCCAGTTTAGTTAGAAAGGTAAGGGTCCACTGAACAACATCCCATAGAGCACTTTTAGTCCAACGAAACAATAACGTTGTAATATGGATGGTAATTCCTTTGTTTACGTCTCATTTCTTCGGGGACAGTTATTGTTTGTATCCATTATGGAATAATTTATGCTCAAAAAACTGCATCTTGGTAGTAAAAATCAACATGGTTTTGTAGCATACAGTGTCACAAACAGAATAAGACCATCCACTAAAAAAAGTCAAAGATACGTGGAATATTGTTTATTTGTTCTTATTTTATTTTTGAATTATTTTATTCATTTATTTATTTATTTTTACAGGTGTTAAAACTTTTCTGTCACATCGCTACTATGAGGGAACTGTGTCCTTCTTACCTGCTGAAGGGAACTTGGGAACTCCCAGAGACAAAATGCAGTGCCGAACTGGGTAAATGCTGTTCTGTATTTTTTGTATTAGGGATGCACCGGATATTCAGCAACTGAAATTATTTGGCCGAAAATAGCAAAAAAATCTCTTTCGTTGTTTGGCCGAATAATATGTACCGAACAATGACGAATGCTATTCAATAGAGGCACGCGCTAATGCAGCAAACATTGGCAGTGTGAAAGTATTTAAAACTATCAGAGAAAGATGCAGAAATCATTACAAGCACGAAGCACCGACAGCGAGAGACTGTTTAGTGCTGCAACACATGTCTCTGATGAGAAGATGAGGTGGCTAATACTGGTGGTTACTGTTTGATAATTGAAATCGCGAAATTACCTCAAACGATTAGTAAATAA